CACCCACATCCACACACCCACACCCACACCCACACCCACACCCACACCCACACCCACACCCGACACCCCACACTCACCCATACCCACACCCAGACCCACACACACGCCACATCCACATCCACATCCACATCCACACCCACACCCACACCCACACCCAAATCCACCCACACCCACATCCACCCACACCCACACGCATCCACGTCCACATTAGCTTGTTTGTCTGTGGATGTTTTCGAGCTAACGCTCAATTTTTTTGTAGAAAATATATCTGATGAATCCCTTCTTCATTTTAGTAAGACAGATTATTTGGACAGATACGTTTACTGCTTATGTTCGATCCAACTCAACACAAATGAGTAAGTGGAGCGCATTTCTAGAGTCACTTACTCCGCGTAATTATACAAAAGTGACTATAAGAGGCACTTTTGACACGACTGGAAGAATGTGTAATGATCCAGTGGTTGCCACGTCTCTTGCAAATTCTTTAAACACAAACACAGACTATATCTCTCCGTTAGCATGCAATGGGAATGTATGGCATAATTGTGCAACTGTTGGGTTTCGAGGTGAAGTTTGGTTAAACCCTCCATTGTCATGTTATGGCCACAATTGTCCTACAGGTTATATTATTCGACCTAATATTGGTACTACTAATTGGGGAGGTGTAAACACAACAACATGTAACGGACCGACACAGCAGATGACCTTAATTTTTGAATATTAATGGAACGCTTCAAAATACATTCCAATCAATCGATCGCTATTCTTTCACTTCTGTATTTCTCTGTTCTCCCATTCTCCAATTCCTCTATTCTCTTATTCCTATCTCATTTATTTCTCTATATCTTTATTGAAGAACATTTGATTTCGTACCGTCGCTTTATCCAAACTTTAACTTTTTATAATTTTGTTTCTTCAAACATAATTAATCATTCTCTTTGAAAGTACTATTCCCTTATTAAGTTATCCATTGCACATTGAAATCAGAAATATGTGATGCACAAACAAACTGCAGCGTGAAAATATTTGCATGTTCATGAATAAGAGAAACTTTCTCGTTGAAAACGAACTGTATCATGCTTTTTGTGCACAGTTTTGAATAACTTAAATTGTAGATATTTATTAATCTTTATTTTACTTACATAGATTACACATAGTTTAAGAAGCAAGAGGGTGTGGGTATGGGTGTGAGTGTGGATGTGCGTGCGAGTGAGTGTGGGTGTGGGTGTGTGGCTGTGGGTTTGGGTGTGGGTGCTGGCCTGAGTGTGGATGTGGGTGGGGTTTTAGTAATAAAATATCAGTGGCACATCACATTCGCATACCCACAACCCACCTACTCACCCACACCCACACCCACCCTAGTTCATTAGTTATTGAATTAGAAGAGAGCAATCGACGAAAAACTGTCGCCGCTCTATCATAATCGCCCATACTATATAAGCAGTCTACAAATGTAAATAAGGGTGTGGGTGTGGGTGTGGGTGTGTGGGTGTGGGTGTGGGTGTGGGTGTGGGGTGTGGGTGTGGGTGTGAGTGAAATAATTAGCAAAACCAGACCCACACCCACACCCTTGGTTATTTCATTTATGCACTTGGTTGTATAATAAATTTTTTTGTTCATCAAGTTACTGTTAACATTGCGATGTGTTTTACTTGTAAGTTTATTTTTCATTTAATTTATTATTATGAGAATTTCAGTTGGCATATTTGTTGTATCATTAAATATTCTTTCTTATCAAATGCTTCCACAATTTCATACAGATAAAACAATAAAGATTAATTGAATTTTTTTCTTATTTCGAATAAAATGTGTTTTATAGTATAGAAATAGGGATAGATCAAAACATGCCATCGGTATTGATTGTTTATTATTAAATAGTTGTCATTTTCTTGGTGAATTGATAGTAGCTGTTTTCTTAGGTTCATTACTAACAAAAACAGGTGTCAATTACTGTATGGTAACAGCTGCTGGATTTACATTAATTGAAAATGTATGTATTTTTTTTCTTGTTCTATTTTAAAAATTGATCTACCCATACCCAGGTCTGAAATTGTGTGGGTGTGATGATTTCTTTAATTCATCAACATCAATAAGAACATTGACACCCATAATCAAACATCATATCATGGTAAAGCTTAAACCACACTGTGCATGGATTGCATCTTGCGCCCGAAGCAGCTTGACAAGGTTCTCTTTATTTTTTTTTCCAAGTAAAGTAAGCTGAACGAATCGCAAATATGACTCACAAAGAAAAAAGAACAAGGTAAGTTGGAAAATTTCTCTTTCTCGCCTTCATTTTCATCGAACGACACTGCATTTCTACACAATGTGTTTGAGTAATAGCTTTTTCTTCGCCACCTCAGTGCGAAAAGAAATCGACGTATGAAGCACTTTATTGACTATCAGCAGTGGGTTTTTTCTGATTTGAAAACAAACACACATACATGTACAATTGAGATCCCCATGTCGACGCAGGATTTGTGTGTGAGTGTGGGTATAGTTGTTGACTTCACTAACACTTCCACTGACACCCACATCCTGAGTCAGTCTTTTCGTATTCATGAATTAGTTTTATTTGATATTTAAACTTAACTTTCAGATTTATCTCTGTAGTACTGATGTTTATTAAAACAACGAAATAGAAATCGATCGAAGAACTTGAGAGAATTTTATTATGCTCAACGAACGCATGATCCAGAATAAATCGCCGCACTTTGCATTCTATATATTAATCACTGAAGAGATTCTAGAGTGTGTGTGTGAAAGAGGAGAGATAATTAATTCACACACCCATACACAAACCGACTCCCACGCCCACATCCATACCCTCTTTGAATAAATGGTGTCAATAAACTGGAAATTCAAAAAATTATACAATGCTTGCGGGGTTTTGAATTATACTTATCTAATTGATTTGAATCAAGAATCTGATCCATGATTCTGTCTAGACCATATCGTATTCGTTGAATTTGTTTCAAATTACGACGAGCAACTTGCATCGCTAATTCCAAGGCCATTTCGTAGTATGCAAGAGCTTTATCAAATTGTTTGTGATTATAATATGCAGACCCTGTTCGAAACGCATAAATTTGAACCAGGGACGGATGGTAAATATCAAGAGTTTTCAGTGCCATTTCTGCTTTGTGAAAGCAAATGATAGCACTATCGAAATCACCTTGGTCATTGTGTATTCTTCCCATGGTAACAAATGAAACAGTAGTGGCCAACAAATCTCCGAATCGTAGATCAAATCCCATTTGACACAGTTTTTTTGCTTCTTGATATTGACCTTGTTGTGCTTTGACACGTGCCAGAGAATCAAGTGCAGTCGCATAGAAAAGTTTGCTCGGCATATCTTCCTGTTTGATATCAGTGCTATGATCCATTAGCGACAGAGCTTCTTCTAAATAAATTTGTGCTTTTTCAAGATATTCTAAATTAAGATATTCCATTCCAATATTAATTAGTAAAACTATTTTGCATCCTTGGTGCTCATTAAGAATTAATGCTTTATGAAAATAGTTTATAGCTGTCTGATGTTCATATATTTCAGAATACATATGAGCAAGAGTCGTATAGTTCGTTATGAACAATGGATGGTGTTCATCTAAGAGTTGCCTATTCACTTGTAATACTCGTTCATATGATTGAAGAGCACGCATATATTCATTCTTTTCTTCCCAATATTGAGCTATTTCAATATGAATATCAACAGCTTCAAGAAGCTCATCGGGATTTATACGATAAATCATATCTAATGCTTTTTGTGAATATTCAAGAAAATGTATATCATCTTGCAAATGTTTCGAGACGACCATGAGATTCTTGTAACATGCGAATAGTTGATTAGATTGAGAGGAAAGATAATGCAATTGATATTCAACAGTTTTCTGAAAATGTTCGAAAGCCTTTTCATAAGAATCTTGTAATAAAAGTATCATAGCTATATTATAATGAACTGTTGCTAATCGTGATTTATTGATTAATGGAAGTTGAAGATAGACATTCAAAGATTGATGATAATAGCTAAGAGCAAATTCTAGATTATTTTGTTCATGATAAATTCTACCGAGATTGAGAAAATTGTAGGCAAGTTCTAGTTTTGCATGAGACTGAAATTCTTTAATTATATTAATGGATTTTTCAAAGTAGTTTATTGATATGTCATATTTAGCTTCTTTTTGATGTAATATTCCAAATAGTGTATAAATCACAGCTAAGCTATTGCCTGGTTTTGATCGTTTCAATTCAAGTTCAATTTTTAATACATTGGTTAAATAATATCGGGCTTGTTCGATTTCATTCTTATCTAAATGAATTTCTGCTTTAGATATGTAGAGTTGAATGAATTTTGAACTATTCGGTAATAGATGTTCTTTATAAAGGTTATCAGCTTTGTCTAAATACGACATACCTTCATCACCACCTAAGATATTTCCTAGACCAATATAAGTTACAGCGAGGTGAGTTGGATCGAACCATTTACTCTTTAATCGAAATTCAATTGATCTTTCAAAAGCTTTTTGAGCGTTCATTATATCGTAATGACGTAAATAAATCCATGCAACAATATCATACATATCGGCAATTGATGGATGATCGGGAGGTAAAGTAGCTAAATGCAGTTCTAATGCACGTTGCATCGATTGAAATGATTCAATCGTCTCTTGTTTACTGGCTGATTGCGCGATACTTCTATATAAATGAGTTTCGCCCATTCGTTCATGTCCATCAGGTAAATTATCATAATAGATTTTTCGAGCAAAATGAAAATGTTCGAGTGCATGTCGATGCTCTCCCATTTTACTGCAAGCTATGCCCTTCATCATTGTATATCGAACTATTTGAATAGTATGTTTTTCTTGTTGTCCATATTGTTGAATATCTTGATCAATCAATATTCGCACTTGATTTAGCACTTCTGCAGCTTCATTGTACTTTTCCCTTATCAATAGACAATTAGCTATTTCTATTAATATGTCTATTCGTATTGAATAAGACGAAGATTCAGTTGTAATATGATCTAAACTTATATTGAAATAATTCATAATCTCTCCAAAATTTTGATGACATTGACGAGAGAGACACATAGCTAATTTTCCCCATATGATTGGCATTAGTTCATTAGTTATTGAATTAGAAGAGAGCAATCGACGAAAAACTGTCGCCGCTCTATCATAATCGCCCATACTATATAAGCAGTCTGCAAATGTAAATAAATCATGTTTGTTATCTTTTATTTCAGGAAAATAATCAGCTAATTTTTCGATTCCTTCACTTTCCTGATTGCACAAAGTTAATTTTACAATCCAAACATTATCAATTTGATATACCGAATCAATATGAAAAATAGCACCGATTGTAATTAAAATTTCTTCTTCACTTGACATCCAACTAACATGTTGAATATCAGCAAATGCTGTCTCACATGTACTCGTTTCAATTGTTATTTCGAATAAAATTGATTCCAATTGTGGCCGCTGTTGTCCTTGTCCACTGAATATTAACGAAAGATCTCTTGCGGTTGTTGTCGAAAGAAAACTATTCATCGAAATAAAACAACCAATATTCTGTTTGAGTTGATCAAATTCATAGGCAGACATTAACTGACCTCGATAAACCGTAAGACAATATGGATAAAGATTCTTCTCGAGCAGTAAGTCTAAATAATCTCCATGTAATTCCATTAGTTGTGTATGAATATCAGATAGAATAAAACGAATCTTATACATGTCATCAATATTCTCTTGACGTAAAACTTTGTTAACAAGACGAAAAAGAAAAGTATCACGCGTATACCATTTAATGGCTTGTTCAGAACAATAGGTTTCTTTGAATTCACGTATTTTATTCAGTTCAATTGGATTTTCAGCGTAGTTCGAACAACAAAATTCGATTAGTTCTGTTTTAGCGGCATCCGCATCGGGAACAGCAAGGAGAATATCCATCAGATATTGATACCACATGAATTTTGATGATTGACGTGAAAGATCTTTTGTTGATCGACCCAATGTTAATATATTAAATTTGAGACCCTTTTCATTACATAATTTAATATCTTCCACAAGTTTGATTTGTATTTGATCTTCATCAGTAAATATAGCACGAATATCTTTTTCAGACAATTTTTCACGATTATTTGAAGTAGTTAACACATATAGAAATGTGACTTGGATCAGACCAGTAACTTCTTGAATAATATCATCAACATTTTCTTCAAATGAATCAATTGATAGAATGAAAAGGATATATTGAGTGTCGTCAACTATATATCGGATATAGTCAAAACATTTTTCAACATCTGAGAATGTTCTCAGTAAAGAGTTTAGCTGATATAAACTTGCTCTAGCTCGTTGACTTGTATCTGTATAGCAAAAAGTCTTGTCAAGCCAAATTATACGAAAATTTCGAACATTTTCATCGAACATGCTTCTACTACCTTGGAGTTCTGTATCTCAATGTTTAAATTATTTGTAGTCATCTGCTATTGATAATTAACCATACAGGTAAATAAATATGCACATTATTGAAGATATGAGCGTCTCTAATTGCAACATTAGAATACATTATGGAAATATGTAATGATTGCCTTCGGTAGTTTTTGTTTTTTGTAAGACAGACGCATCTTTATTGAAACATGTGGAGTTGAGTATGGATGTAAATACAGGGCTATAGAGAGAGACTAAAACACTCATGCAGTCAATCTTCTTCGCCAAAGGTAAACTATGATGTAATGTAAATATCATTCCGATAGTTAGCATAAAAAATAAAGTCAATTGATGTTTATTTTCAAACATTTTCTCAACTGCATTTTTCTAATGAGAAACTTTAGTCGTTATGCTAATGTCAAGTGAAAACGGCTTGTTAGCGTAACCTTTTTGGAGCTAAAATGTGGAACTCCTATATATTCTCCAGCCTCATTAAGCTAATATCAAATATGTAAAGTGGAAAATTTCTCGTAAACTATTTTGCATTTCGAACAAAGATTGAATTCTATGCTCGCTACTTTTTATTTTCATTTGGTCAATTCACTCATACATTTTTTATTTTTTTAATTCTTTTTTTTATTAATTTAACATTGTTATTCCCTAGACTGAAAGGCTAGGGTCTAGAAACCGAAATTCACCTGTGTCTGTCTGTCTGTCTGTCTGTCGGTAACGCGGTCAAAATGGCCATTTTTTTTGGCACATGTGACCATTTTTTTCGCACAAACGACCATTTTTTTGGCACAAGCGACCATTTTCTTGGCACAAACGGCCATTTTTTTACTAAAATTAACTAGGTAACTATGGTACAAATGAGCATGTAACTATGGCACAAACGGTCATTTTTTTGGTACAAACGACCACGTAACTATGGCACAGGTGACCATATAACAACCATGGTACAAACAACTATTCCGGTAACTATGGCACAGATAACCATATAGCAACCATGACACAAACAACTATTCCAGTAACTATGGCACAGATGACCATATAGCAACCATGCTACAGACAACTATTCCGGTAACTATGGCACAGATAACCATATAGCAACCATGACACAAACAACTATTCCGGTAACTATGGCACAAATGACCATATAGCAACCATGGTACAAACAACTATTCCGGTAACTATGACTCAAATGACCATCTAAAGACTGATGTAAATGAACCCATAACAATCATCGATAAAATGTGTCAATGAAATAACTATAATTCGGGTAGTGGTGTAAAACGGCTTAGAAAAGCATTTAATTAGTCAGAGTCAGACCAAATGAGCAGTATGGACTTAAAGAAATCGTTTAAATTATTCATTATTGTAGGATTGATTGTGCAATGCTGTATCAATGAATATCTAATTTATTAATAGTTTAGAATTAATGCGCGAATTGAAGCATAAAATATTGATTAATAAAACTCAAATTTTATGAATAATATAATTCATATTTTTGTATGTACAAATAGCGCCAATATAATTACAAAAAAAATCGTATTCTTGTCTAATCTTATTGAGCGCTATTTATATTCATAAAAGCAAAAAAAAATAAAACAAAAACGACAAAAAAAATTAAATTTGTAAAATGCATTATCTTTACTTAGAGTGAGAATTCTCCGAATTAAGTTTTCTGCTCGCCTAAGATTTACTGGTTATATTATCAATTTTGCGTATTACTTTTTTAATGTAGCTTTTTATGCTATTACATCCGTACATGTATTCTATCAGTCTAGGGCTAAGTGAATCGCTTGACGATGAACGTTACTTGTTATTATAATCAACAAATTAAATGGCAAACAAGTCTGTTTTACATATCGATCATACCCACAACAGATTTTAACGCACTATTATTAAATATAATAAACATATGAAGAATTTTATTCATTATTTTTCAAAATTTTCAATTTGATCAATTTTGCAAAAAATATTTACAAAGTCTGAAAGCTGTTTTCTTCCATAGCTGAAGTTCTGTAATAGTGACCTGTCTACAATGGGGTCTTTAGTTGCTCAATGTCTGTAATGGGGAGAGAAGCCGCACAACTTCGACTTCAAACTTACACTCACTATTTTCTTCGAAAATATATGTGAGTTCTACAAAAGTGAAAACTTTATCAAATACATTCAAAGCAACAAAAGTATATAATAACCGATTCTATTCTTGGCATAGATTTTGACTATGGCAGTCTTATTGTATTAAAGTTTACTTTGATGAAAATTATTAAAAAGTGTAAACATCATTTACAATATTCGATTTAAAGTTTAGTACAAATGATTTTAGTATCGATAACGAAAAGAAAAGAATAAAAGATGCACACTACTTTCATGAGTATTACTTCGATAAATCAAATTAGATTGACTAACTAGTTTAATCACTTGCATAAAAAAATCTTGACAGATTTACAAAAACAACTTGTCATCATGTAGATAGGACTACATGAGATGATCACGATCAACAGAGGTTTTGATTCATCTTCAATTTCATCAAGTATTTACCTACAATGCTTAACATTGAACTTAAAAATTAGCCATTGCAGCAACAACAAAGTATTAATAGAAGATGAAATACTAAAATTCAAAGCGATAGCTTTCGTTTTTCAAAAGTGACTTCTTTCCAGTCTTCAATTTATTTGCGACCTAGAAGCACACTATTCACATAAACTGTAACTGAGCTTTTCTTAGTTAGCAGCTAAAAAGTTGCGTCGAATGATGGACAATAAACGAACAGAAATTCTTGGCTGTCGGTGTGAGTATTACCATACGATACATTCACACCCACACCCTAAAAAGTAAAATAGATTTCAATGTTAAAGATTTTTATTACGTCGAATTAACGAAAGATAAGCTCGACCATCTAATCCTAATCGACCAGCACTAGTCGACTCATAGATAGAATCTTCAATTGATTCAATTATCCAACCATTTTTCAATGAAAATAATTCTTCTAAATCAGATTGTTTTATTCGACGTGGTCCACCTTCACGTATTTCTTTTTCACTAAAACATAAGTGAATATATAAACCATCTGGTTTAATTAAATATTCAAGATTTTTTATATAACGTTGACGATCATTATTTGAAAAAATATGAAAAACAGCTGAATCAAGAATAATGTCATAGAAATTTTGTTTTAAATTTGTCTTTGAAATATCACTTAGTATATCAATAGCTTCAAATTGAATATTAACATTCGATTTTTGAGCTTTTTCACGAGCAACTTCAATTGCTTTAGGTACCTAAAATATAATTGAATTTTATTGAAACAAAATAGAAAAGAAATCGTAAATCTACATACTAGATCCATAGCTGTTATATTAACATTCTTTGTATGACTTGCAATATATATTGCATTATCACCAATACCACAGCCAATATCAAGTATTTCACCATGAAAAATTCCTTGTTCAACAAGTTTAATTATTGCTGATTGTGGTCTTTCAATTTCCCAATGTCCTTCACCAGTTCCGGATATACGAAAAAAAAATTCTTGTGGGAATCCTTCATCTTTGTTAGTTTCATTCGTCATGTTGTTTCACAGCAGTAAAAGACTAAGAGAAAAAGATGTTGCATTATCATGATGAAAATATAACATAGATAAAAATAGCATCATACGGTTTCTTTTGTTCTTTCTTTATGATCACTGATGGCAGGCAAGCCATAATAACACATAT